AGATATATTAACTGTTAAGTCCCACAAACTGGTATCTATAAAATTTGTACTGTAACAAACTCTGTACTTAAGATGCGTGTGGGCGTGCTAAAAGAGCAGAGTAACTAGTCATTCAGTGAGTTTAAAGGAAACAGCTAACCCGAACCTTTGATTCGTGAGCGGGTTAAAACCCAGACAAGAAACTGAACAGAATCAATCTCTAACCGCCTAATCTTCAGGCAGCCTTAATAGTAGCCTCCTACTTTGGTGATTAACAGCTAAGAGAATATGCCGTTCCTAGCTAAAGCTAAGGGGTCTCTCGCATAAGATATCGATCCTACCACAGTAAGATGTCATTGAGTGATGTATCGCCTCAATTGCAGTTATGCCGACACTTAAATAGGAAAAACTGGACGGAAACTGAATATGACGAGTGGGAACATACGGCCTGCAAACGCAGTGCGGATTATAAAGCCAAATAGACGTACAATGGTGGTTCTTCCTGCATTGCAAAAACCTTCATCTGTTACCATCCAGTAAATTAATTCGAAAAAACAAGGAAAACGGCAGAAAAAAGTAGCAGTTACAGAACCCCTCATCTACCCCAAGGTGTACCTGCTTTTATGAAACCTGACGAAACTGCGCCTGTGCGCCTTTGAAGTATAGCCATGAACCCGGTTTCAAGAAGGCCAGTCATCAAAACGTTAGACAAATACACCAAACTTGGCTTCTCCTATACGTAATTTACTTTACTAAGACGCAGAATTGCTGCAGATATTGCTACAGATTGGACAATGATCGTGCACCCGTAAGTCCACTTAAATTTATTTTAACTACACATTAAATACAACTATGTATTTATTCCAATAAATTATTTAGATTTAATTTCAAGCTACTGTCTAGCCTCGCTTGAAACTTCTTTAGAAGACATACCATACACTCCACATACTTTAATATACTACATTGTGTTTTAATAAAGCATGTTTATGCTTTATTTAGCAGAAGAACACAAACTCTAAAGATGATACGGCAAGTGGTCATCCGTATTAATTTGTAGGTAAAGTATTGCGAAATTTTACGCTATGCCGTCTATCCTCCAAACAAATGATAACGACTGGT